GCTGGTGGGTTTGAACTGCTAGCCTTCTGGTGAGCAGTCAAGTGCCTTAGGCACTGTGCTACCAGAGCTCCTGCCCTACAGGGTTGCTATGAGTGGGAATTGACTCGATGGCAATGGGTTTTTCGTGTGTTTCTGGTACATTCTTGGGGTGGCTCTGAGAAGTTGTAATTTTTAGAATTATAAAAGTACCATTGTGATGGTAACCAGGGTGACAACTATTGCTGTACTGCATGGATTGTGGCTAAGAAGTTTGATTTCTAGTGCCATGTCTGACTGACTGGTAAGTTGTCCCGGGCAGTGTATTGAAAATTTGGGGGCTGAATCTGAGCTCTGCTGGAAAGAGCACTCTTTATGATGTAAGCCTCAAATGTGAGGGGAGAGAACAACTCTATCCACTTCAGGATTTCAGCTGAGACAGGAGAGGTTACGTTATTTTCTCAGCTACTCACTCCTGTGCTATAAGAAAAACATCCGTGCCCATAATTTCTGCAGGTGGAGTTAAATCCATGTTCCACAGTTCAGTTTGGCCTCAGAATTTGTGTTGGCCAAGCCAATGTGAAAGAGAGGTTGTGACAGATGGCAGGTGTGAACAGATGTTTTAGGAGTAATTGTGTTTCAGTGTGCCTCTTGCTCTTTTCCTTCTGCCATGAGAACATTTTGTCAATTAGAGACCTGGGAGCAGAGCCTCACCCAGCAGCAGATCAACCCATTGCTGACTGACATGAGTGAGAAATGTTTGGTCTTGCAAGCATCCGAGATTCTGGAGTTATTTCTGTGGCCAAGCTGACCAGTACAACCAAAACACTATTTCCAACATGAACTCTGGAAGTTAAAATAAGTCCTAACTTGTCATTTTGCCTGAATATTAGTTTTATTGGAGCTCTGATGGCGTAGTGCCTAAGGCATTTGACTGCTAACCAGAAGGCTGGTGTTTCAAACCCACCAGCCACTCCTCGTAAAGAAGGTTGGGCAATCTACTTCTGTAGTGATGTTGTTGTTATGTGCCATCGAGTCGGACTTGACTCATAGCGACCCCTCCTTGGGTTTCAAGGCGGTATCACTATGGAAGTAGATTTTCCAATCTTCCTTCCGAGTGGCTGGTGGGTTTGAACTGCCAGCCTTTTAGTTAGCAGTCATGTGCCTCAGCCACTACGCTACCAGAGCTCCCTCTATAGTGATACTGCCTCAGAAACCTGATGAGTGGTTGCTATCTTAGGTTGATTCTTAGTAAACTACCTAAATTCCACTGGGGAGTTACAGTCCTGCTCAAGTAATTTTGAGGTCTATAGGCTAAAGAAAGAGAAGAGTCCCTGGGTGGCACATTTTGTTAAGTGCCGGGCTACTACCTGAATGGTTGGCAGTTTGAGCCCACATAGAGGCACCTTGGAAGACAGGCCTGGCAAACTGGTTCCAAAAGGTCAAACATTGAAACCTCTGTGGAGCCATTCTACTCTGGACACATGGGGTCACCATGAGTTGATGGCAATTAACAACAAGAGACAGACTCAAAGAAAACCTTTCAGAGAATTGTATTAGAGTGGACCCATACAACAACAGACTTATTATTCTGATGCCCAGGGGTTGCAGTAGGTAAGGGACATCTGCCTTAGGTTGGGGTTGGTTCTTATTAGTTGCAGTCACGTTGGCTCTGATTCATGCCAACTTGACATATAATAGAAAAAAACCTTGCCTGATTCTGTGCTCTCTTCATGACTGTTGGTATGTTTGGACCCATTGTTGTGGCTATTGTGCCAGTCTTTATCTCTGAGTGTTCCTGAACTGGACTTTCCTGATAAAAAGTCCATGTACCGCTAAGGCCAGGTGTGCTTTAGTATTAATCTGGGGCTTTGTGTAGCTAGTTCGGTTCTTTTGTGTGTATGTTTGCATTTATAATCAAATGCACAGATCTGTAAAGATGAATATTTAGACTACTTTCCTTCAATCAAATCAAATATTCACTGAATTACCTTTATTTTAGGATATCGAGTAAGTAATGTTCTACGTAATTTTAAAGACGGACTTTCTCCTAACTTAATCATTCTTGGATAAGATTTACTCACCTGGTCACTTTGGTAAGGACAGACAGCATCATGCCAGGACTGGTCAGCAAATGTATGGTATTCATTTGTGAATAAGCAATTCATAGGTGCTTAAGATTTAACTAGTCGTAAATACGTCAGCAGACCCTCTCTTCTGTCTCTATGTTTTTTAAAACTTCCCAGCCTAATTTTCCAGAGGATTACATTGACTTTTAGTGCTTTGATGCTTTTGTAAGGCTTTCACTCCCCAGTTAACAGTGTCCTAATACTCTTGGCATTTATGGTAACAAACTTCAGGTGCAGTCATATTTTGGCTGCAAAAGTTCTCTGATATGTGTGCTTCCTTGTCCCCAGCTCTTCTAATTTGGTGTTTTTTTTTTTTTTTTGAGCATTGCACTGTTGGTTGGGGGTGTGGGGAGAGAAGCTCTATAAATTAAGAAGAGTATGAGCTTCACCTCTAGCACCTCCCTTGGATCCTTCTGGGTTGAAAGAGTCAGAGAGCCTCTCTAACCCTCTTGTTGTCCTCCCTCTGAGCTTGTTGTCCTCCCTCTGAAGGCAGTGGGGAGCACAGCCCAGCACAGAAGTATTGTAGCCAGCCAATGACTGATGGACTGCAGCTGGCAAAGGAAACAGCAGAAGGAACCACAGGTGACTCCATTCAGCTAACTGGATCAGGGCACCAACAGGAAGCTCAGGGGAGGGAGAGGAGTCTCAGCAGCTTACTAAGAGCTAGGCCTTTCCTGCCCCTCAGTCAAGAACAGCCTATGCTTGACCTTAAATTTGTTAAGCTGCAACACAGAGGGGAGTTCTTTTCATTAATCATCAATCTAGGCAGTCAAAAAAAAAAAAAAAAAAAGGTGCACTGAGAAACTTACTTTTTTGAGCTTATCCATATGAAGGAAAAAGCCTCTGGTTGTTATCCAAGAATGTAGATCTTGGGTGAACTAGACCAAGAGTATATTCTTGACAAAGGCTAGGAGCTGTCAAGTTTTCTACCCAAGTGAATAACTATAAAAAATAAAGCCAATTGCCAAATGACATGCAAAGAACTTTAAGTGCTGCATTTTTGATTAAGCTGAAACTTGACTTTCTAAAGGGGGCTGAAGTGGCTAAAACATTATTAAATATTTGTTACTAAGGAATTTCGTTCTGTTGTACATAGGGTTACTATGAGTCAGAGCTGATTCAGCGGCACCTAACAACAAGGAATGTAATGACCATCCTGCTCTGTGCCTGTAATTAGGCTGGTTCCATAGTTCTCAGTCTTTAGAGTATTAGAGTCATCTGCAGGGTTTGTTAAAATACAAATTGCTAGGCTCCAACCCCAGAGTTTCTGATGCAATATCATTAAGTGAGGCCTGAGAATTTGCATTTCTAACAGGTTCCCAGATGATGCTGGTACTGCTGGTCTGGGGACATTTTGAGAAGTACTGGGATAGAGAATTATCCTTGAAGATATATAGATAGTAGCCAAGTGAGCCAGTTGCCATTAAGTCAACTCCGACTCATGGTGACCCCGTGTGTGTCTGAGTGCAAATGCCCTCCATAGGGTTTTTAATGCTGATTTTAGAGCATAGAGATCCTCTTTATTCAGCATTTCATAGCCATTCCCTATAGGTACTAACTTGTAGTAGGCCTTACAGGAGGGTGATGCTATGAGTTTGCAGATGTTGGTGATTAGGGTATTAAGGATAAGGCGAAATCACAGAGTTGAAGGGATTGGAGAGGGGCAAGAGCCTGGAGAGTATAAGAAAATGGGAGTGAAGGGCAGATTGAAGAATTCAAGTGAGAGGGAGAAACTCAATCTGACACAGATCTCACTGCCATGTGAAGTGATTGCTTTATTGAGTTTGATCCCTGAGGTGGTGACAAGAGCTATACCTAAAACAGATGGATAAGGTCCCAAAGATTTTATTGTATTCCCTTCTGTATTAAAGAGTGAAATGGACAAGTTCTTTGAACTTTCATAATGATGTTCATTTTGCTTGACAGTGTATATTAATCGCCAGATGGAGAACTCTTTCTTTTGGGCAAATAAGGTCATAAAGATAAGCTGTGACAATTAAATGGCCACATTTCTTTTATTTTATCAATATGGTTAGAATCTAAGGTGGACATGATAAGATGTACATAATTTTTCTTCTTTGGAGTTCTAACACATGATTTTGATGTCTGAATTCATATGGAAACAACAAGGTAGAAAAGGATGGAACCCTATTTTTAGAACCAGGTTTTACATTCCATTGGTAGCCTAGTACTTAAGGCACTTGACTGCTAACCAGAAGGCTGGTGGTTCAAACCCACCAGCCGGCCACTCTTTGGAAGGATGGTTGGGCAATCTACTTCCATAGTGATACTGCCTCGGAAACCCAAGGAGGGGTCGCTATGAGTCGGGTCTGACTCAATGGCACATAATAACAATAACAACACCAACAACAACACTGGTTGTAAAGTGATTATTCAATATATTGTTTTGACTTAAAAATCTCCCATATATAGGTGGGTGCATATGGTCATGCAATCAGTGGGATTCCCCCTTCCATCTATGGTCTCTAGCCAAAAAATGCCCAAATCTATTTTATAAGCCTTTTATCTTTCAAGCATTTCAGTGAAATAGTAGTAAATAGGAATTATGATTTCTCTTTCTATGAAATGTCCATCATTAGGAGAAATAATATTAAAATTCCCAAATACCTCCATGATAGCAATATTCAAGAACTAATATTTTATAGTAAACATTTTTAATAAACAGCAGCATAAAATAATCAGTGTTTAATATCATCTCTTGTGTGTGAAATACAAATGCACATATCCTCAATATAAAATAACCTTTTTGTTATTATCACAATTCCATGCTTGTCTATTTGAAATGCCCATAATAAAAAATCAAACATAAAGTAATACAGTGATTAAATGCATGCATGTGAAAATAAGGAAAGATATGGTAGGTCAAGATATCTGAATATTGCCATTATATATTTGAAGAAAATCTATATCGAGTTAAAACAAAGAAAACAAGGAAACAAACCAGATATAAAAATGCAGAGATATATTTTCACTTCTGTGATACAAACCAGAAACATAGTTTTGTGCAAAAAAAAAAAAAATAATAATAAAAAGATTTGAAAATAAAGTCATCTTACAAAACATTGTCAACAAAGCAAAAAATATTTTTCAGTTTGTGAAAAAAATACTATTTTAATACAAAAGGGACTGTGTTATGTAGTGTCACAGTGCTCATAGGAAATAAATTGTTCCAAGTGGTTTTGAAATTTAGGTTGCTCATACCTTAATGACTCCTGTAATTATAAAATGTTCAAAATAACTGTTACAGTTCTTTTTAAAAAAACTAACTTGAATTTTTTCACTGTTACAATGTTTTTCTAGAGTAGGTATTTTAATGGCTCATAGAATGCTAATTTCCCTTTAAGGGATTCCTAGAAAAGCTCAGATTCACTGAAATTGTGTTTACTTAAAATAATAAATATTCTTGGAAAACAATTGATTGTCGTATGATATATAAAATTGTGGTTTGAAGCTTAATCATTAAACAGTTGCATAGCAACAAAAGGATACAAATATTCTCCTCCACCTACAGTTAAGAAATGTAACTTCTGAATCAGCTTATTTATGCCACAAAAATATGTCTTAATTTATCTTGCAATACATCTGGATATAGCCAATTCTTTGAGTTCACAGTATTTATACATCCTTGTTTGTTGTTTGAAGACTCAGTGTTTGGAAAAATTGCAATACATTTTGGTGAATGTTGTTTCCTTAATTTCTTATTCTAATTTTATTTTTTTAAGAACTGAAACACTACTCTATTTCTAAATCTTACATTCTCCTCATCAAATATCATTTTCCAGGAATTACTTCACAACCTGTAAGTCTCTTTATAAGTCTCTTTTATCAGTAAAATAAAAATGCACCTTTGAAACCTTAGAAATAAAGGAGTTCTTTTCTTTAAAAAAAAAAAAAGAGAAAAATCAAATTAAAAAAATCCTTTCTATTTGGAAACCCATAAGAATTCTAAACCTGGCAAAAGATGGCTGGCAGGTCTAGTCCATGAGATGCATATCTGGTGTCTCCCTCTAAGACAAAGATTATGTTGCTTCTATTCACCAGCTTTTTGTAGTCAACTCAGTTTTTGGTAATCTTTGATGTGAGAACTCAGTACTTATTTATTATTATTATCATCATTATTATTTAATACTGTGATACTTCTCAAAATAGAGTTCAAAATCTTTGGATACCAACTAATTCTATGTAAATACATTGTCATAATTCTTGGGGCTGGAATAAAATCTGTGAACATTTCTAGCACAGAAAATAAAAGTGAAAGAAACTTTAACTAGAAATTGGTATCACAGGGTTTCCTATGTCCTCAAAGTCCACTGATGGTAAGCAACCCTCTGTCTTGGACAACCCCGAAGCAGGCGCTTGTAAGGTGTGAGTGGGGTCATTTGCAGCCACACTCCTATTTTCAATGCTATTGGTCCAGGGAAACTCCTGTGGAGGCTGTCTCCATAGGAACCCTTGCTTTTCTCCTAAGGATGCTGATCTAGCCTGAGGGGTCATTTTCCTGACTCTGTTTCCATTGGCGTCTCATTCCTAAGGCAGTAAAGTGAACCAATCAACCAACATTTCACATCTGGCTTTCTTATGATCTGATGCCCTGTGTTATTTCAAGGGCTAGGGTAAGTACACTGTGAAAAAGGAAAATGTGGAACTGGCCTTTCTGATCAGAAGAAGAGATTCACAAAAAGGCACACACTGCACCTTCCCAAAGAAGCCCCACTGTAGAAGGCTTCAGGGAATTTGTGTACTTGTCTTATGGCTCATTTTCTTCCATCTGGGACCTCAAATTTGGGCTAAAGTTTCCTCATTTATTCCGAACATCACATCCATATAAACATGCATAGAGTCTAAATTGAATCAATATCATTCCTGAACATCTGTCCTGAAGAAAAGACAGCAGGTAGACAAATGCAACGATATATACATTTTGGGGGGAGACCAGTCATTGCGACCGAAGGCAAATACACAGAGCACCATTGATTTTCTTTTTGATTTGCTATTGAATCACAAGGTTCTTTTCCTCTGTATTGGTTTGCAGTTTTCCATACTTGAAACTGTATGTACCAATCCCAATGCCATATCATTGGGAGTGTAAATCACACGGTGTTTTTTTTTTTTTTTTCCTGGGTGGTGTCTGCCCATCTTGCTAAGACACAGTTAAACTTCACAGAAGATACCTGTTGCAATGTCTGCTAAACGAGAACCTTACTTTTTAATAAAAACATTTGAATATAAATCTTTTCTACGGCTTTCTAGTTTGTCCTGTATACCACAATTATAAAAGTTGTGCATTTTACAGTTCTGCAGAAATCATAGATTCGGTGTGTCCATGGATATTGGAGTCTCCTAGCAATGATGACTGCTTTGAGTCTATTTTGTAGGGTTTTTGAGATTTGTTGCCAAAAACGGTTATGCCCATTCCACTGGGATGATTTGGAATAGACATGTGTGGTAGTAAAGGAATATTTGCTTCCTGATTGGATCCTGATGAGGGTAAGCTAGTCACATGACCTGTGCTAGTTGACCCACTGGCACTGCTGGGGGACCGACTCTTGGGAGGAGGGCAGTGCTGAATTACTCTGGGGGGACCTGTCGGCTGGTAGTGGGCAGCTGGAAAGGCTGCATATCCAGGAGGTATCGGGTATCCATTGAGAGGGATGAATCGCTGGTTCTGAGGTATTGGTGGGCCAATGAAACCAGCGATCTGGCCCTGTGGTGTAATACCCTGGCTTGGGAACATGTAATTGGGGTATCTGGGGTTACTGAGATTACTCACTGGACTGGCACTAAGGGAGGTTGTCTGCGTGGTGGCATTTCCCCCTGAAGGAGTCGTAGAGCTGGTGTGACTAGAGAGTCCCTCCCAAGATCGAAGTCGGACATGAATATCTTTAAATCTTGGTCTCCTAGAAGGAATCTCATTCCAGCATTCTGTCATTAGGCTGTACATTCTGGGAGGGCAGTCTTCGGAGCATGGTAAGAGCTGCCGTTTTCTCACCATTTCAATCACTTCCTGGTTACTAAATCCATAATATGGCTGCAGTCCAAAACTGAAAATCTCCCACAAAACAACCCCAAAGGACCAGATATCTGAATCAGAAGAGAATTTGCCATACATGATGGCTTCAGGGGGCATCCAGCGAATGGGCAGCAAAGACTTGCTTTGCACCCGGTAGTAATCAGCTGAGTATATTTCTCTGGAAAGCCCGAGGTCTGAAATCTTTACGTGAAGTTGCTCTCCGATTAAAATATTGCGAGCTGCGAGGTCCTTGTGGACAAAGAAGTGACTAGACAGATATTCCATGCCGGCTGCAATCTGAATTGCAATGTGCAGAAAATCTCCATGATCCAGGCTGGATTTTACAGTCCCATCTTCATCACTGCTACAGCCAACGTCGGAATGTGGTGATCGCATGATGAGGAACTCGTGGAGATCTCCCTGGTTCATATACTCAAAAAGCATACACACAGGTTGTTCCTGAGTGACAGCCCCTAGAAGGCAGACAATATTGGGGTGGTGCAGTTCAGCCATAAGGGAGGCTTCTTGTTGAAATTCTGTCCATTGCTGTGGGTTGTTATAATCTTTCAAGGTCTTGATAGCAACCAGCTGAGCATGGTCCATGCCTGGGAGATAGAGATGGCCCTTATAGATTTTTCCAAAGGCACATTCACCCAATTCTTCCATAAAACGTACAGCAGAAAGAGGCAGTTCTTTAGCCTTACTCTGTATGAAAGAAAGGAAAAGTGTAGTTTAAAACATTTCTTAAGGCAAGACATCTTGGACTCTGAGAGGAAGGGAGGGGATGAGCCTATGGAAATGGGTTCTAATAAATCAGATTAAATTAGATAATGTAGGCTATGAAATCTTGAAAATTGTTGGCTGCAACCTACTGGAGATGTCATGGGCAACTTCATATCACTCCCCTATTCAACAACACCTCCACCCCCTGCCATGGCTCTTGCTGTTGCCTAGAGTCTTGCTACTCAAAGTGTGGTCTTTAGACCAGCAGCACTGGCATCACCCAAACCTTATTACAAATGCAGATTCTCAGGCCCACCTCAGATCCACTGAATCAGAATGTGCCTTTTACAAAACGCCTTGGTGGGAGCTCTGGTGGTGTAGTGCCTAAGGCATTTGACTGCTAACCAGAAGGATGGTGGTTTAAACTTGCCAGCCATTCCCTGGAAGGAAGATTAGGCAATGTGCTTCCATAGAGATACCACCTTGGAAACCTAAGGACGGGTCACTATGAGTTGGGATCAACTAGACTACAGTGAATTTTTTTCTTTTAAGGTGATTTTGGTACACATTAAATTTGAGAAGCACTGCTGCAGAGGGCACAGCCTTAATTCTTAGCCTGGCACATTATTTGAGATATGGTGCTAACCTACCCCCTGACATGAAACCTTGCTATTCTTCTATATGATAGCATTACTTTAGTTCAATAGGGTTCCTCATTGCTGCCTCAAAATAGCACACATATTCTTGCTTAATATATTTGTTTCTTCAAAGTTCTCCCATTCTGGGGATATTTATTTTGTTAAAATTCAGAGAAATCAAAATCAAAGAGTGGCCTCCAAGGTGCTCATAGTAGAGATGGGCCATTCGGAATGTAATCTTCCCATCTCATCTAATTGTTTCTTTCCAAAAAAGCCTATTTCTGGTCCTACTTTCTCTGAAACTTCCCTTATACCTCAGTGGTCTTTTCCTTCTCTGGAGTCCTTTTGTTTCTGAATGCCACTACATACAAGCAGCAGTGTGATGGCTGGTTATACACATGGTCTCCACAGCCACAAGAACCATCAGAGTTTATCCTGCCCTCACCACTTACCAGGTCTGTGACTGTGGATACAGTATTTAATCACCCTGTGCCTCAATTCCCTCATCTATAATAATAATAATAATAATAATAATAATAATAATAATAATAATAATAAAAACCAAACTTACTGCTGTCGAGTCAATTTGACTCATAGCGACCCCTTGTTGGGTTTCCGTGGTGGTATCTCTGCGGAAGTAGATTGGCCAATCTTCCTTCTGAGGAGTGGCTGGTGGGTTTGAATCGCCAGCCTATAATATGGGGATGATAACTGTACTTCTCTCAGAGGGTAATTGTGAACTTTAACAGTTGAACAGTACTCAGAACTTAGTGTAGCACATGGTAAATGCTATTTAACCTTTAGCTATTATTACCTTGTCATTGTTGCTCTTGTTATGCATACATTTTGTTCCTTCAATCAGATTGTAAGTTTCTTAAACAGAGGCATTGCCCTTTGTACCAAATTATATCTGTGGGGATTCAAAAGTGTGCTCTTTATCAATTGACCTCAAAGCTGATAGGAGGAAGCACCTAGTTCACAGTAAAAATAAGTATAAAATTGTGACATCTGATCTTGGCAGTAAATGTGTTTTCACTATTTTTGAAATTCACCTGAAATCTAGCCTGATGTTTAGTCTCATTTGTTTTGTACTGATTTTGTTTTTTTGGGAAGTTGTAAAGGCAATATATTTTTAAATAAAACTGATTTTTAAAATAATATGTGTTTGAAAATCTTTATTTCTAAAAAAAAAGAATGCTTCTCTGAGAATTCCTACTGAAGCTGACAATATTGTAAATACCTATTGAATTGCACTTTCTCCAAACTGAGTTTAAAACAAGAGCTTGCAAACTAAAGAGTTCTTGAATCTAAACTCTACGTAGTGTTGTGAGGATTAGTTCCATTCTAAGCTGATGATTTCCTATATTAAGTCCAGGGGGAAGTGCCCATTAACTTAAGTATAAGTGTAAATATGCTGCAAGCAAAATCTCCACATGAAAAGGCAAAATGGAATCAAGGATTTTGGTACCTTAATTCTTCTATGCAAAGAGTATTTTTCATTTCAAAATGATCTTATTTATTCATTAAAGCAGGTCTTATGGGATTGATATTTGGAAATGTCTTATAAAAAAGTTAACTTGTGCTTAAAGTATTGGCAATACAATGTTTTAAACATTCAGTAAATTAAAATTTGAAATTCATTGTTATTCATTACAGTATGGTTTGTAGTAGCAAAAGTTTAGGAATAACCTAATATATACCTACAGGAGATTGATAAATTATGGTGGCTCTAGTAAATGGAATATTATATAGTTATTACAAATGAGGAAACTTTCTACATCCTGATATGGAAAGATCTCCAAAAGATTATTGCTAAGTTAAAAATAAAAAGCAGATGACCAGTTAATGTTGTATACTTCTTTTGTGTGAAATAGAAAGAGAAAACTAGTGAATATATTCAAATTTGCTTATATATGCATGAAGAAACTCTGAAAGGAAACAAACAGCAGTGGTTACTGGGGATAGAAAGTGTCCCTGAGGGGTGTAAACAGTTAACACACTCAGGGACTAACCAAAAGGCTGGACGTTCAAGTTTAGCCAGAGGATCCTTGGAAGAAAGGCCTGGTGAATCAGCCACTGAAAACCTCTGGTGCACAGTTCTCCTTTGACACACACATGGGGTCACCAGGAGTTGGAGGTGACTCCGAGGCAACTGGTTTTCCTGGGGCTTTAGGGAGGATGTAGAGTTTGGAACTAGGAGGAGGGGGCAGAGACAGAAGGATTTTCACTTCATGCTTTTTTATACATTAAATTTTTCGATATGAATAGGTTACCAATTGTGAAAATAGTTAAAATTTAAAGATGTAAGACCAATCTTTCTGTCTGATTGAATCAGGTCATTTCTTCTGTAGATGTAAGATGATCTATTTTTTTTCCTTTTGCTTATTGGGTCTGGATTCTTTTTGGAGCAAGTATAATTCCATTGGGAGCACAGTAAGTGGGAGATAAGAAAGACAACCAGCTGAATAACCCTACTTTTTCCTTTTGCAGAACTTCAATGATTTTACTTTTGCTGGCAAGAGTTACCTAAGTTGAATTTTTCCTGTATGACATTATGATAGGGATTTCCATGAGGACTTTTCCTAATGATGTAAATGAATCTAATTTATATCTAGTATATCTAATCCATACCCAAATTATGTGGCATAGTGGGTATTACTTATTGGGTTTCAGTGATAGAAAGGGTAAGGAACTGAGTACTAAAGCTTCTTTTGAGGGAAAATGGGAATTAGGAATTAAATCTAAGGAGTATTAGATGGATGTAAAAAAGCGTTAGCAACTCCCCCACTTCTTGCTGATTAACCCATAGGCAAAACCAAAAAACCAGTTGCCATTGACTTGACCCCAACTCATGGTGACTCTATGAATATAATTGCACTCACTAGGGGGTTTCAAAGACTGATTTTTCAGAAGTACATCACCAGGCCTTTCTTCCAAGGTGCCTGTGGGTAGACAGACTTGAGCCACCAACCTTTTGGTTAGCAGCTGAACTTGTTAACTGTTTGTACCACCCAGGGACTCTAGCCTGTAGACAATGTGGTGTATTTCAAACTATGTGATCTTTGGACTTATAAAAATCTGGGTTTGCAACTTGACTCTGCTTCTTTCTACTAATAGTAGTTAATATTTACATAATTCTTACTATGTACAAGGTACTCTTCTAAACACTTAATAAGTTTTAAATCATTTACTACCCTGTGGGCTGGGTCCTATATTTGCTGGTTGACCCTAGCTGAACTTCCTAACTTTTTCTGAACCTGTTTCCATATACCTAAAGTAATATCTAGCTTACATATTTGTTGTTGTTGTTATGTGCTGTCGAGTCAGCCCCGACTCACAGCAACCCCTCCTTGGGTTTCCGAGGCAGTATCACTACAGAAGTAGATTGCCCAACCTTCCTTCCGAGGAGTGGCTGGTGGGTAGCAGGGATTACATGCAACCATGTATGTGTGTAATTTTCACCTGGTAAGGACACATTAAATTATCCTTATTATTATTATTAGAGAAATTATACAGGAAGTAGAACAAATGAAAACAATTAAGATTCATTTATTCTTGAATAGCTCTTGAGCATCTCCTATACAACCCTCTAATTTAAAATAAAAGTGAAGTTGCCTCCTATTAATCTTTTTCTATTGTTCCACAGTTGTTAGTTTTTTTTTTTTTTTTTTAAAGAAATCCTTAAAAAATGACTATTTTGGGGAGTGAAGTTATGTGAGAATTTGAGAGACACATGGCCTCAGAATTCTGGAAGATGTCGATGGAGGTAGAGGGGGAAGAATCCATGTGCAAGACTGGATGGTAGCAGATGGGAAAAGGAAGCCAGCAGGCCAAACTTCTGGGGAATGGAAGAGAAGGAAAGGTGGACAGCACTTTGGTACAGTCTTGACACTTTTAGAAGAAGAACTTTTCTCTTTCCTTTTTACAAATGGAGAAAGAGTCTTGGACAACGTATCAAGAATTTTCAAGAGAACCAAAAAGAGCTTCACTTGGATCAGCAAGGCCTTCTGCTTTGAGCAATGCCATTCCGTTTGAAACCGGAGAAGTCATTGGCCAGCAATTCCAGTGTCTCTGGAGGCTCAGCTTGAGGCTTGACACCTTCCAGGGCTATGAGGTCAGCCTCCAGTGTGTGGCTACTCTCTGGAACTAAAATCGCAATTTTCCCTGTTCAGGCACATGAAAGGGAATCTATTGCAACCCTAAGTGTATCTTGTCATATCTCACCAATACCTGGCCGGCCATAGAGTATACAGTCCAAATTCTCCTCCAGCCTCTAGTAGGAAGGGATAGTTCACCAGAGCCAATTAAGGTGACATGTTGGGGCGTTTGCTTTGGAAAGAAGCA